TTTTTTTTTTTTTTTTTGCAGAGGTGTTGACTTAATTAGACATTGTGCAATGGCAATAGGCCATAAATCCATTAAATAGATAAAGCAATAGTTTTGAACCAGGGTGCTGGGGTGCTTTCAGACCCTTTCAAGGGTGCCACACAATATTAGCACTGTTAGGTGTCCAAACATGATCCACAGGAAAAATCCAGAGATTTCAGCCAGGAATCTAGAGTGTCAAAAACATGCTGGCCTGTTGTGTCTTTCTGAATTCTTTGCAAAAGAAAATTGCTGCATTAATTTTCTGTAGTCAAAAACAAGTGAAAATTAAGAGCTGACATTTTCCAAGGGGGCGCCTTGAATATAACTGGGGGGGGGCTCGTCTAAAAAGGCTGAGAACCACTGAAAGTATCACACAGACATGCAGAAGAGTGACTGACCTGTGCCTAACATGCAGAGATTAGCAGTGGGAAAGGTAATTTCTCAGTTAATTAATAGATCATAAACCACAGTGCATTCTATTTATCAAATAATCTCAGCATAAAACAAAAAAGTTTTATATACTCTTTCAAACATGCAGTTAAAACTGAGTCAGAGCATGTTGTTCAATGCCTCTCTGAAGAATTTTCAAATGTGTCCACATGCAAAAATTCAATCAGCTTCTCAGCTTGGAGTTTAAAATACAAAAAACATTTAGCACAGTATGAAGCTGATAGACTTGAAATTGTCAGTGACAAGAAAGTCTTCTCAAAAGATTGGTTCATAACTGTCTGAGTTGCTATGGAAGGCAGTAAACTACTGTTGCATGGATTAAGTGCCTTTGCTCTTCCAACTAGTGTGCTATTGGAAATGGAAGAACCACTGCAATGCAAGAGATTTCTTGTTGAAAGATGATATATATGTATTACTGTGTGAAATTGAGGACATTATCGCCATAGGACTTATACATTCTGTTGGAGGGATAAGAGATGAAATCATGTTTCCACGGTCAGCCAAATAGGTAATGCACCCAGGCAATGTCGACATTTACTTCACCCCATAAAATAGATGAAGATTAAATCTCAGGTATTGCTGATTAACTTTCAAGGCCTTATCTATACCATGGTGACAGCAGATCCTAACATCATAGGGCCTGAGCAGCTCTTACCCACCTGCAACCATAGGCACACTCCAAATCTCAAAGCATGCCAATGAAGATGCTATCTCTGTACTTGCATTTGAGCCCTGTCCCTGATGTGGTTGAGACTAGCCAGTAAGGAACAATCCTGGAGCAGCCTCACCAGCATACTTTCAGGTTTGGAGAGTGACAGCAGGTGCAAGTGAGTAGGGTATTGGTGGGATATGCCCCCACTGCAGGGACTTTGTAAAAGGTGTGTGGCCCTTTAAAAGAGGCAGACACACACAGCTGTGGGTGATTAGTAGCAGGCAATTATTTAGAAGTCCAAGAAGAGAAGGAACAAGCAACTTGAGCTGAGGAAGGAGTGGACCGAAACTCAGAAGAGCTCAGCTCTAAAAAGGTCTCTTTCATGATGCCTGGAGAAAAGCTAAAGGGTTGTTTTATGCCTCTGTTAGGATGGTGTAATATTGCTTTGTGATATGAAGACTGGCTGAGGGACTGCCAAAGGAGCAAAGCCGAATAACAAGGCTGCTTCTGGACTATTGTTTGGACGGTCAGAAGGACTCTTAGGCTGCGTCCAGATGAGTGCAACCATGCTCTGTGTGGCACCGCAGACCCTTCTGTGTCACCAGACATTGCACATTTGGGCATTTACTGTGCTGCTACCTTGAAGCACGGGCAAGTGGTTTTGATCCCAGGAGATGCCAGGGCCAAAAAAACCCATGCAGAAAAAAGCAGGGCAGCGCACATGGAGGCAGCATGAGCCACCCAAAACCGGAACTTGGCCTGCCAGGGCTGTAATGCGGCTGCCGGTCAGGCTCCAAGCTGCAGGAGCACCACAGCTGCACTTTCCATGGGCCCCAGGCAAGGCTGATGGAGCTAGCATAGTTGTTGCTGGGCCCAGCCTCTCCTACCCCACTCCGAATAACCCGCCATATGCCAGAGGGCATGTGGCATGGGCATTCCTCAGGGACAAACTATGGCTGAAGACCTTAAGGACTGAAACTACTCGGGTTATGTTAGGCAGCTCTACCTCTGCATGTAGGTCATATGTGGTGGCAAAGCAGTAAAGATTTCTTATTCTGGCTTTTTGTCCTTGTTTGACTCAGCTGAAAACTAGTACTTGTACCTTCAGGCTGGAAAGCCAAAATGGCCACATGGTGCTAGCCATATCAGTCCCTGGTGTGCTGTTGCTTCAGGTATTTTAATTATGCTAGCCTATTGGGCTATGGAGTTTGGACAGATGTTGGTTTCTCTCTCCCCTCACGTGAGTGAGTGCCAACAGTGGGTAGGGCTGACTGTGGCAGACTCCACCCTGATTCAATTATTCCCTGAAGAAACTACATTGAGATCCTCACTGGTATGAAACAGCTGTGCTCAAAACCAACCAAAAACTCAGTACAGAATAAAGGCAAAAATATAGTTCACTTATCACAAAGAAAATCTCTTTTCCAACATAATTGGCTTGCTTAGCATGAGCACACTGCCCCCATTCAGGTAATGCTCCCAACTACCAGCATTGCTGAGTAGGAATGATTTCTTTTGGTTTATTTTTGCCTTTGACTACTACTTAGATCCACAAATCAAAAACTGACAACAACTGAAATGCATAAAATGAAGCAATTGAAGAGGAACCTCTTACATCTTATATCTTTACATCCTGAACATAGCGTTTGGGAATACAGTAGCAGGTCTGCGTTCCTCCACACAGGATTAATATAATCAGAGACAGAATTCATCAGCTAATCTTTACAAGTCTAGCTACAGATCCTACAGTCATCTTCCACAATGGATTTTAACCAAGACAGAAGCTTATGTCTGACCACAGGGAAAGGTAAAATATTACTTCAAGGGTTTACCTTTGGTTTGATCTGCTACAGTTATGTCTGGAGCACAGATTTACTATGCCTGACTCCAGTGCCCTCAAACACCATGCAGCTTTTTGCACTTTCACCCTGGCTGGAAGTAATGTTGTTGAGTCTGGTGCAGAGGGCAAGTTAATAAACCCTGATTCATACTAGAGCTATTTAGACCATCCTTAACACCATGTGGATACAACTATATTGCTTCTGGTCCGAGCTCTAGCACATGTGGAACCACACTGTGTTTGAGGCACAGCAAATTTGTGATCTAGGAATGTCCTACAGCAATTCTTGTTATATATGTTTTCTATCACAAACTAGATAAATAAAAACACAAACCCAAATCATTGTAGCAGTTGAAAAGCAAAATCGTGGGCCTGGGATTATGAGTGGTTATGAATTATTTGGCAAGCCACTACCAGCATGAGCAGCCATTACCAGTGTTTTTTATGATGATGCCC